GGCATGGCTGGGGTGACGGCTCAGCTCCATGTGGGGCCGGGCAGGATGCTGGGCTCAGGGGCCCCCGCCAAGCCCTCCCCAGGAATTAGGGCTCTCCCTAGGAATCAGGGCTCTCCCACAGGGCAGGGACAGGGAGGGACCAGAAAGGCTGGCGTGGTCCGGCGGTGCCAGGAGCACGTGTCACCGGGGAGGATGGGGACTGTGCCCTGGCATGGGTGGCACCTGGTACCTCTGGGGTAGAGCATTGGCATCCAGCTTGGCACTGGGCATCAACCAGGGCTGTGTCCTGAGTGGGAAGGGGGTCTTGCGGCCAGGGGGAGGGAGCCCTGGGACCTGGCAGGGAGGTTACTGGGAGGTACTGGGATTTGTGGGGCCCTGGGCCCTACCTGCGTAAGCATTTCAGAGGGGGTTCACCGCTGTTTATTTGAGTGTAGGGCGAGGCAGTGACCGGCTGGTAATGATTAACCCTGGACCGAGCCAGAGGATGAGGCCCCCCCCAAGCAAGGGGCTGGGGGGCTCTGTCCCCCCGTGCTCCCCACCAGGTCCTGGGGGCTGTGGCTCAGCCCATGGGGCTGGGTAGATGCTGCCCCCCCCCCGCCTGGGGACACCCAACCGCTGCCCCTTCCCTGCACCCCCGCAAGCACGGGGACACTGCCAGCACTGTCCCCCCGAGCTGGGGGAGCGTGGGGCACCCCACGTGAGGCAAGGATGCTGCAGGGGCCCCATCGGTGAGGCAGCACCCCTGTGCCAAGTTGGGCGGGGGGACCCCCCCTCGCCGGGGCCGGCGGTGGGGTGGGGCGTCAGCACCTGCCCCAGGTGCTCTATAAAGCTGCCGCCGCTGCTGAGCCCTCAGTTCCTGATCGCTGGATCACAGAGCGTGCCGCCGGCCAACAGGAGAGCAGCCGCTGCGGAGCCCCAAGAGGTGCTGGGACCCCCCCGGGATGAGCCCCATGGCGTTCACTGCCTTGCTGCTGCTGCTGCTGCTGGGCACAGGTGAGGGGCTGGGGCCAGCACGACCCCGAGCTGGAGGGAGCCAGGCTGGGACCTGGGTGAGCAGGGAGGCAATGGGACAGGGGGACGGGAGCAGAGTCCCCTGGGCTGCTTTCTGAGCAGGGACCGGGGGACGCCGGTGCTGGTGGCCCTTGGAACCCCGGTAGCAGGGACATCGCCGTCTCTCCTGGTCTGGCCCCGGGGTGCAGCACCCCAGTGCTGGTTGTCCCCAGCAAAACTGGGACCTGGAGACCTCGCTGTAGCCGTGGCCCCTCTTAGCCATGTCCGAAAGGATCAGCCAGGGCCGGGCAGCCGGGCTGTGCCGGGACCAGCCGGAGCAGGCTGTGCCCGGGGCTCGCAGGCTGGTATGCAGGTGTGTCCCGGTGAGCCATCCGGACCCCGGGCTCTCCTCCAGGGCTGCCAGCTCCTGCGAGCACCCGCTGGAAAACCACCTGGGAGCTGCCTGTGTTGGCCAGCAGCCAGGCCTTGTAGGTCTGGGGGGGCATGGGTGGCACCCCACCTTCCCAAGCTGGCGACCCGCAGCAAAGGAGGTTTTCTTGGAGTGGGGGGGC